AGAGATGCCAATGTTGGATCAGGCCAAAGGCCCATCCAGTCCAACACTCTGTGTCACACAGTGGCCAGAAATACCAGTGCCATCAGTGGGGCCAGGACATTAGAAGCCCTCCCACTGTTCACCCCCCCCAAGCACCAAGAAGACAGAGCATCACTTGCCCCAGAGCCCCTATCTATACCTTGTGGCTAATAGCCACTGATGGACCTCTGCTCCATATGCTTATCTAATTCCCTTTTGAAGCCGTCCATGCTTGTAGCCGCCACCACTTCCTGTGGCAGTGAATTCCATGTGTTAATCACTCTTTGGGTGAAGAAGTACTTCCTTTTATCCGTTCTAACCCAACCGCTCTGCAGTTTCATGGAGTGCCCACGAGTTCTTGTATTGTGAGAAAGGGAGAAAAGTACCTCTTTCTCTACCTGCTCTTTCCCATGCATAATCTTATAAACCTCGATCATGTCACCCCTCAGTCGTCTTTTCTCCAAGCTAAAGAGCCCTAAGCGCTTTAACCTTTCCTCATAGGGAAAGTGTTCCAACCCTTTTATCATTCGAGTTGCCCTTTTCTGCACTTTTTCCAAAGCTATAATATCCTTTTTAAGGTGTGGTGACCAGAACTGCACACAGTATTCCAAATGAGGTCTCACCATTGATTTATATAGGGGCATTATTATATTGGCTGATCTGTTTTCAATACCCTTCCTAATAATCCCCAGCATAGCATTGGCCTTCTTTATTGCAGTCACACACTGTCTCGACATTTTCAGTGAGTTATCCACTACAACTCCAAGATCTCTCTCTTGCTCAGTCTCTGCCAGTTCAGACCCCATCAATGTGTATTTATATTTAGGATTTTTGGCTCCAATGTGCATCACCTTGCACTTGGCCACATTGAACCCCATTTGCCATGTTGACGCCCACTCGCCCATCCTTGACAGATCCCCTTGGAGTGCCTCACAATCCTCACTGGTTTTCACCACCCTGAACAACTTTGTATCATCCGCAAATTTAGCCACTTCACTGCTTACTCCCATCTCCAAATCATTAATGAACAAGTTAAAAAGCAGTGGACCAAGTACTGATCCCTGCGGTACCCCACTGCTTACCACCCTCCACTGAGAAAATTGCCCACCTACACTCACTCTCTGTTTTCTATGAACTAGCCAGTTTTTGATCCATAAAAGGACTTGTCCTTCTATCCCATGATTTTTGAGCTTACTTAGGAGCCTTTGATGAGGAACTTTATCAAAAGCTTTCTGGAAGTCAAGGTAAATAATATCTATTGGATCCCCCTTGTCCACATGTTTGTTCACCCCCTCAAAGAACACTAACAGGTTAGTGAGACAAGATCTTCCCTTACAGAAACCGTGCTGAGTCTGCCTCAATAGGTTTTGTTCATCTATGTGCCTACTAATTCTTTCCTTAATAATGGTTTCCACCAATTTACCCGGTATCGACGTCAGACTGACTGGCCTGTAATTTCCCGGATCTCCTCTGGAACCCTTTTTAAAGATGGGAGTGACATTAGCTACCTTCCAATCCTCAGGAATGGAGGCAGATTTTAAGGAAAGATTACATATCTTTGTCAGGAGATCTACAAGTTCACATTTGAGTTCTTTCAGAACTCTCGGATGTATGCCATCTGGGCCTGGTGATTTTTCAGTTTTTAAGTTGTCTATCAGTTTTAGGACCTCCTCTCTCGTCACCTCAATCTGACTCAGGTCTTTCAACACCCCTCCTGAAATCAGTGGTTCTGGAGTGGGCAAGCACTTCTCATCTTCCACAGTGAAGACGGAGGCAAAAAATGCATTTAGCTTCTCAGCCATTTCCCTATCATCCTTCAATACTCCTTTTACCCCTTGGTCGTCCAAGGGCCCCACTGCCTCCCTGGCTGGTTTCCTGTTTCTAATGTATTTGAAGAAAGTTTTATTGTTGGTTTTTACGTTTTTTGCTATATGCTCCTCATATTCCCTTTTTGCCTGCCTGACCTCAGACTTGCATTTTATTTGCCATAGCCTGTGTTCCGTTTTATCAGCCTCACTGTGACTAGCTTTCCACTGCTTAAAGGAATTCTTTTTACTTTTTACAGCTTCCATTACTCTGTTTGTTAACCATGCAGGCTTTTTCCTATACCTGTTTGTGCCTTTCCTAACCTGCGGAATATATATTTTTTGAGCTTCTAGGATCGTAGTTTTAAATAGTTTCTAAGCTTCCCCAATGGTTTTGACCCTTTCTACTTTTCCTTTCAGTTTCCTCCCCACATGTCCTCTCATATCAGAGAAGTTACCCCTTTTAAAGTTAAAAGTGGTTGTGTCAGTCTTTTTGGCCAATTCCCTATTTGTACAAATGTTGAACTCAACAACATTATGATCACTGTTTCCAAGTGGTGCAATCACTTTTACATCTCTCACCAGGTCTTGAGTGTTACTTAGGACCAAATCAAGGATCGCCTCTCCCCTGGTAGGTTCTGTGACCATCTGCTCCATAGCACAGTCATTTAGAGTGTCTAGAAACTCAATCTCTTTTTCCCGACTAGAACATGTATTGACCCAATCAATGTGTGGGTAGTTAAAATCACCTATTATGACACAGTGTTTTTGTCTAGCTGCTATCTTTAAGGCATTCATCATTTTATAATCCTCCTCTATCTTTTGATCTGGTGGGCGATAACATGCACATGTAAGAAACTGGCTCTTCTAAATGCCCAAGTATCAGGTCTCTGATTTGTGCACATCCAGTAGTTTGAATTGCCCAAGTATCAGGTCTCTGATTTGTGCACATCCAGTAGTTTGAATTGCCCAAGTATCAGGTCTCTGATTTGTGCACATCCAGTAGTTTGAATTGCCCAAGTATCAGGTCTCTGATTTGTGCACATCCAGTAGTTTGAATTGCCCAAGTATCAGGTCTCTGATTTGTGCACATCCAGTAGTTTGAATTGCACTAGAACTGGGATTTTGAATGGACAGAAGGTTGATTGGCTATCAGATTCATATTTCAAGCTTTTTGCAATTTATAATGCATGCACATTAGACTCAGAGACCAAGCTCTATCTGGGTTGGATCTTCCAATTTTCTTATACTAGGAGAGAAACTTCTAAATTAAAAATAATATAATATACATCTTGCTTCTATAATGGTGAATGTCCTTACATGCATGCAGGTCTTTTTTTTGTAGAAAAAGCCCAGCAGAAACTCATTAGCATAATAGGCCACACCCAACAGCAGAAACTCATTAGCATATTAGGCCACACCCCAACAGTACAGCTCATTAGCATATTAGGCCACACCTCATGCCTTCCTTTGGCTTGCCCAGGCAAGCCGACCCTTGGACAGGCCAGGGAACACACGGGGAGGCATTTAAATGCCTCCCTGATCCTTCCAGGCCCCCCCCAGCCCGCCTGCCTCGGGGTCGCCGGGGGGTCGCTCTCCCGGCCTTCCCTCTGTAGCCATGCACACAGGTTTTGGCTGTAGTGGGCATGGCCAACTCTGAAGCCAGACAGAACTCTGTTCCTTTGCGTTCCTGCCCCAAAATAGCCCTGCATGTATGACATTTCCACTGGGAGAAAACAAGAAGCCATGCCCGGGGCTCAAGGGACTATGGCCACAATCCTAGAAAGATATGTATACAGGCAGAGCGATTATATGTTCACCTGGAGTTGTCTTTGGTATTTCTACTACAGTCACTCCCTAAGACAAACTGGCAAAATTTTTCTGTTCAGCTGTACAAGTGGCTACAGCACAGTTCTTTATTTATTTGTTTCATTTATACCTCACCTTTATTCCCAATGGGGACCCAAAGTGGCTTACATCATTCTCCTCTCCTTCATTTTAGCCTCACAACAACCCTATGAGGTAGGCAGGCCCATAGCCAAAACTTTTTTGTTAGGGGGGCAAATACCGGGAGCAAGGAGGAATGCCAAAAAATGTCACACCACACTCTAAGCACCTATACAGCCTTTTTGTCTCCGACTCCTGGCCATACACTCCAGCCAACGTCTTAAGTCTCACCTCAAGTCAGCCTCATCACTTCAAAGGTGGCAGCGGGGCTCAGTTAGTGAGCAATTGGAGGAAGGGGGGAAGCCAGCAATCTTGCCTTCCCCTTGGTACCATGTTCACATGCACCCCACTTTCTCTTCCACGCCCCTTTATTCCCTCTCATTTGAGGTGGGGGGAAGGCAATGAATAAAGTGAGTGAGAGAGCTGGGGAAAAAGCAAGCTAGGGTACGGCTGCAGGAGTAGCCCTGAGAAAGGAAGCAGGAGAAGTAAGTTGCTTGGGGTCTGTTTTTGAGCCCTATGCAGGCCGAATCTGGCCCGTGGGCTGCGCATTTGACACCCCTGCTCTAACCACTACACCCCACTGGCTCTTAGTTCTCTCCTACACATGCATATAGATTACTAAGACTATAGCCTACTTGCATAACAGCCACTAGGTTTAGCATGGGAGTATATCTTCAGGCTGCAGATGCTTCTCAAAGCCCCACTTTGGGAAGAAAGGCAGGGTATCAAAGAAGTAAAATAAGTAAAATAAAATTCCTTAGGTTGTTCCTATCCTGCAGCAAAAGAGGGTAATTTCATTTCTGTCCCGTCCCCAGGGTGTTCTTTCCCCAGCCAGTCTGGTGTAGTGGTTAAGTGTGTGGACTCTAATCTGGGAGACTCCTCCACTTGCACTTGCTGATGTGACCTTGGGTCAGTCACAAGCTCTGGCACAGCAGTTCTTGAAAGAGCAGTTTGTGTCAGAGTTCTCTCAGCCCCACCCACTTCACAGGGTGTCTGTTGTGGGGAGGGGAAGGGAAAGGAGTTTGTAGGCCGCTCTGAGACTCCAAGTGAAGGGTGGGGTATAAATCCAATCTCCTCCTCCTCCTTTCTGCCCTCTGACCACTGAGTCCAAAACATTCTTTATTTCTTCTCATTTTGTTGTTAATGCAAAGTATGCAGCAAACACCAGAGGAAACTGAGTCATGTGAATTTAGTTACATGCTTTTCTTTTAGGAAAGACCTTCAACTTACTTGTAATTCATGGGCTTTTGATTTGTGCTTGCTTGCTTTTCACAGACAGTTATGTAGTTGTGAACATGAAGTGCAAAATTGGCAGTGGCCACTGGTGTATTTGGGTCACAAGCCTCTCCATGTGCTGCTACAGTGAAATGGTATTCTCCGCTCTCTTCCAGCATTGGCAGCCCTTGAAGTGTGCTGGTGTTAGGGTTATATTCCAGCCATTTTGGCAACACTGATCCATTAGCCAGAGTGACCTGTTTATAAGACAGATGGAGAAAAAACAATGTCTTGTTATGTACTATAATAGACATGATATTACTATTTCTTCCAAAATCATAAAAAGTGAAGCAATTCTATCTGGAAGTCTTTTAATGTACCTCTTCCCTGCCACCCCACTAACTTAGAATACAGAATTTGTGTTAAAAAGACAGGTGAGAATGTTGTATGGACACTTGACAGAAACATGCTGAAAGAGACTGAATTCTTGCCATAAGTCTTAACAAGGAAATTGGAGATAGATATTTAAGATTAAGACCAAGAATATTTCATGTTTAAAAACAAGAGGAGGGAGAGAAACTGAAAAGTACTGAGACCGGAGACTCAGCATAGTGAATCAGCTCTTGTTTATTGGATTACATTAGGAACGAAAGATACTTTGGCCGGGCAATGCCCAGCTTATATGCGTGACCTACACCCAGGGCTATTTTTGGGCAGGAACGCACAGGAACAGAGTTCCAGCTGGCTCCCAAGCTGGCCACGCCCAGCAGGAACTCATTAGCATAACAGGCTACATTAGGGGTGTGTGGCCTAACATGCAAAGGAGTTCCTGCTTCAAAAAAAGCCCTGGTTTTGTTCCGGTCTGGCTCCCGCGAAAGGCAGACGCATCCTCGGGTCGCTCCCGAGGGCGCCTTGCCCGCCCGCGGTGGAGGAGGGAATCCGCGCAAGCGGAGACCCGAACGAGCCCCTCAGATGAGAGGAGCTCGGATCCGGGGCGCTTTAGGGCGTTCCAGGGGGGAGTCTCTCTTTCGGTCGAGAGATCGGAGATTGAGACTCTCGCCATGCCCTGCCCCTTTGGACCTTGCTGCGTGAGCGACCCCGTTCTACGGGGTTTAGCGGAACCACCGGGCGTCACCGAGTGATGAAGCGGGGGAAAAAATGGAAAATAAAAGACTGGCGTAACTGTGAGTTGTCAAAATACAGAGAAAATGAACTAAGAACGTTTTCCCCCCCCCCTTCAGCGGAAAATGAGGAGATTAATCCTCTATAAGCGAGAAAGAAAAAAAAGAAAAGAGGGGGGGAATGGACTGAGCGAATAGTGATGTTTTCCTTTGATGTACTTGAAAATAAGCAAGAGGTTTTGTTTCCCTGGAGCGCATTTTAAAAACTTTACTAAAAATAAAAAAACAAGATGTCGGAGCTGGGTAAAGACAAGCGGGGGAGAAGGGAGGGACTTCCGTCTGGGCGTTTGTGTCAACGTGAGTGCCGGCTGTTTAATATTTGGACTGTGTATGGCTATGAATCCAACGGGGATTGTGAAGGAAAAGAAAAGCTTGAATTGTGACAGCGAAAAGTGCCTCATGAGCGCTTATAAAAGTCAACAATTGAAGAGGAGAATCCAGCGAAGGGGATTGGGAGCGGATAAAAGCGAAATTGAAATTAATGCCATTCTCAAAGCTGGAGATCTCCGGGCATGGCATGAAAGGAAGACGGCTTACAGCACAGGAACTGAAAGAGTTAACAGCGACCCGAAGGAGGAGGGGAAGAAGCCGGAGGCAAGAGAAAAACAGAGGAAGCCCCTCCCGTCACTGAGAGGGGAAAAGTAACCAGCGCGTTAAAGAAGCGGTTCTGAATGTGCCCTGAAGAGACTTTTTAACAGAAATTCAAAGGAACATTACTAATAAATTAACATAGAAAGTAACTGGAATGGAAAAAAGATGTTTGACAACACGCAGAAGAAGCCTTTGATGATTGGACATTACTAACAGTTTAATCTAACAGTTAATACATCACTCAGCTTTCTCTTCCTCCCACTATATACCCTCCTTATCTTTCTTTTTAAGCGAAACTCCTCCCCTTTTTAGGGGAGTCAATAAAATCTTTATACAAAAAAAAAAATCCCTGGTTTTTTACTACAAACAAGGTAAACAGAATAAGAAGCAAAAGGTGGGTGTGGCTGGATGACCACACTTCTGGTAACACGGGGGTGTGGCCTAATATGCTAATGAGTTTTGGCTACTGGGTGTGGCCTATTATGCTAATGAGTTCCTGGCTGAGCTTTTTCTACCAAAAAAGCCCTGCCTACACCACACAACACCACACCACACCCACACACACCCATCACCCGTGATTGGTTCTATTTACAAGTCAACATCTCAATAGGTTTACTTTCGAATCCGGGCAAACCCATTGGTGCGCCCTAGGATCCAAAGTGGCTATTGTCTTAAGACTGAAGGTCGGAAGGTTTGTCTGACCGCGTGGCCGGGCTAGCAGCGCCGCGGCCATCTCATTGCAACTTAATACACAACAGAAACCTTAATTGTTTTGAGAGGAAATTAAAAATGTGTCTCCTACTTCTCCTCCTGTTGTTGTTTGGTGAATGCAAGTGTTGCAGGAACTTCGGTGGGGGTGCAGGAGTTGGGTTGCCAATCTTTAGGTGAGCCCTGGATATCTCTCAAATTTATAACTGATCTTCAGACGACAGAGATCAGTTCCCCCTGCAGCTTCAGACATGGGACTCCATGGCATCACATCTCCCCTGAGCTCCCTCCCCAATGCCCCCCTCCAGGCTCCACCCCCAGATTTCCGAGACTCCCCCAACCAAGAATAGGCAACCTTAGGGGTGCCAGTCACCTCCCTTCCTGCTGAGAGCTGAGAGCAAGCTGAGCTGTAGAAGTTCCCTGGCAACGTTCTCCTTCTGCAGTTGCTTGGGGGAAGGGGGCTTGGGCAAAGAACTGGCCGTAGGGGATGCCTTCCCCCTCCCTCCATCAAGGACTGCCCTTCTGGTTTTCAACAACTGTACTGCAACTGGAACAGGAGGCTGAAGTTGGTTCCTTATTCGCTCTTCCTTATTCATTCCTTATTCGTTACTTATTCGTATTCACGTAGTCATTCAGAAACACTAAGGAGAGTGAGTTGAAAAGCTCTGAATCCCAAAATAAGGTCTGGACCACCACATATCATATACCCCCACATTCACAGGACTCTCCCCTTCGAGGGGACATATGCTGTATCCTGGTCCAAAGCACGGTTCTGGTGCCAGCTGCTCCAAAGTGCAGTGCCCCTAGGACAATCACACAAGCAGGCACTGGGGCCAGGCTGCACCCCAAAACAATATTTGGACCACCCCAAACTAAAAGCTTCAGTCTTCAAGTCTAGCTACCCGAGGGCATTCTTACTGGCCTACGGCAGACAAGCACTACCTTGTAGTGAGTTATTGTTCCATGGAAAGCAAATGGTGATATGGGGTATAAGAATAATTTCCCTGGAAGTGCTCTTGTGTCTTGAACACCTTGAAAGGCCTGTATTTCTTCACAGGTGTCACGTGACTCCTTGGCAACAGCAGCAGGCCTGACGGTGGCAAGAGATACCACGATGAAGAACAGGGACAGAGCTGACAGCATTTGCCTCTCTGGTGGCAGAGCGGCACCGAACGCAAGGCTGCAGTCACAGGGCACTGTGAGGGTGAAGGGGTCCTCCATTCTTAGTCTGTAAAACAGGGACGATGGATGCAACAGGGTTGTCAGAACTGGAGAAAAATGAAAGGCACCTGAAGTCAGCTCAAGAGGAAGCTTTAAAAGCCTTAAAAACAGGGCTTTTTTTTTTTTTAAGAGGCGCAGGAACTCTCAAGAGAGAGAAATTAAGTTTTCAATCAGTATAGTGAAAACTCATGAACTTTTAAACATTTTTAAAATAATTTTGTCGAAGAGGTTCCAGAACTGTGTTCCGGCGCATTCCCCCAGAAAAAAGAGCCCTGCAATAAAAAGCTCTCAACGTTACTACTGAGAAACCACATTTAATTTTAGGCAAGTTCAGCAATTGATTGACAAATGACAACAACTTTAAAAATAAGCCAGGCACTCACTCTTCCACTCAGATAAGGCTTCTTTACTTGAAATTCATCCCACAGTGCTACGGCTTCCTTTAGACAGTCCAGTCAGTTCTTCTCCCCTGTCCTGATAAAGAAGGCCACTTGGGTCTCTCTGGGAAATGAAACACTACACTAGGGCTCCTTGAGGGAGGTCTTCAACTAACAGCCTAATAAAATAGGAGCCAAATAAACTGAGCTCACTTATTCAAGATTGAGGTGTTTGGGGTTTTTTTGTAAAACTCAGGTATACTAGATCAGACACATAAATACAGTCGAACAATTAACTTTTAGGATAAAATACATTAAAGTATAAAAATAAAGTCCAGTGGCACCTTGAAGATTCATTTATATTTATTTATATGTATTTATTTATACATTCAATTTCTAAGCCACCCTCCCCCATACCTGGGACTCGGGGCAGTGTACAACATTCGAAAAGATACAATCATAAACAGATTTAAATAAGTTAACAACAGTATAATAACAAATACAATAACCATTCCAGATGGCACCTAAAACCAGATTATCCTTATCTCAAGGGGGAGTGAAAGGGAGGAAGGCTAAATGAAGACTGTTGCTTTCCTCAGCCATAGGCCTGGTGGAACATCTTTGCCTTACAGGCCCTGCAATAGCTGGAGGGCCCCTTAAATTTTGCAGAGGGGAGGGAGAGGGGCGGCTGCAGGTGGCAAGCCTGAATTCCAGGCAGCATTGTCACTTGGAGTTCAGAAGCCTGACTGGTGGCCACCTGTCTCCTTCCCCTCTTGCAAGATTTAAAGGGCCCTCCACCAGAATGGCAGGCCCTTTAAATCTTGCAGGAGGTTGGGGAGAGGGATGGCCCTGGCGATCGTTCTTGGGGGCGGGGCTTGGAGCAGGGACATTCCCAACATGTCATCATCACATTGGGGATGCCCCATCCCCTCCGGGAATGCTCCCCAAAGTCCCCAGCTGGGGACAAAGACAAACCTGGCAACCCTACCCTGCAGAATTGGACTAGGTCCCACAGGACATGGATGTTGTTGGGCAGAGAGTTTCACCAGACTGGAGCCAGGGCCAAAAAAGCTTTGGTTCTGGTTGAGGACAGCCAGGTATTTTTCAGGCCAGAGAGCACCAGTAGATTTTTCTCCACTGAGCGCAGTGCTCTTCGGGGGAGGGGGGGCTGGAGGTGGAGAATACCAGGAAAGGCAGTCATGAAGGTATGTTGGTCCAAGACCTTAAAGGTTACCAGAACCTTGAACCTGATCCGGTATTCAACGGGGAGCCAGTGCACCTGGCGAAGCACCGTTTTGATCTGTAATGTTAGTGGGGTTCGTGAGGCAGAGCTCACTTCAGCAGATGCATGAACTGTTCAGCCATTAGGTAGATGTATTTATATTCAAAGTTGCAAACAACAGACAAGTGTGTATATGTGGGGTGGGCAGGCAGACATGTTCCAAAACAGAGGCCAGTATTAATATCCAATCAAAACAGTAATTTATGCACTCAAGTGCCAACTTGGGGGAGGGGAGGGATGGCAGTGAGGTATAATACCATAATGTCCATCCTCCATAGCAACCATTTTTTCCAGTGAACTGATCTCTGTATTTTGGAGATCAGTTGTAATTTCAGGAGATCTCCAGGCCCCACCCAGAGTCTGGCAACTCTACTCAGAAACACCCAGTTGTTGAAAGATAGGCAAAGTAGGATTAACATTGGCATTCACTGAATATAAAGAACTTTTTATAATAGGGGTAACTCACAAGCAGAGTGCTTGTAATCATGTGATCTGTATTATCCTGCCAAAAGGTTAAAAGAATGCTACCTCCCACACACACCTGCAGATGTCTGATCTGATGGATTCTCATCATCATCTGACAGGATGAGGTAGGCACCCCAATTAATGTGGAGAGTTACCAGTTGGGATTAACAACTGACTGTATCCATCCTATGTAGCAGCTATTGATGCAGTAAAGAGAACTTTACCAGCCTCTACCATCAGAAGTGTTGAACTCATTTGTTACAAGGGCCAGATCTGACATAAATGTTACTTTGTCAGGTTGGGCTGTGTATGTCATAAAATGTAATGCCAGATACCAGAGATATAAATTTTATAAAGGACACAGGCAGACCCAGTTAACCAGATTATTTTTTATTCAAAATTCAAACAAAAGCAATTGATTCCTAGGAGTGAAAGCAATTGATTTACTGGTGAATCCACAAAATCGCTAATAAATGTATTTAATCATATGCAAGCCTAGTTTTTCTCCCAAGGGGTACCATAAAAGGGGGGAGGTACCTTACATTTCCAGACAAATTAGTTATTTTTTGTATACATAGTACTTTTAGGAGACTAGTCAGACGTTTTTAGCACACACACCCCATACGCCCAGCCTAAGCAGCCCAGCATCTATATATCTAATTCCGAAGATGCCCCCTGTGTGCAGATACCTAAATCCGCGCATCGGGGGCACCTGGGAAGGAGGGAGATTTTTGTGCACACTTGGGACGGTCCCCAGGGGTGCACAAAAATCTTAAAACCTGAAAAAAATATCGGGGGGATACTTAAATCCCCCCAAAAGTAACAGAGCGTCCCCTGCGCATGCGCAGGGAATGCTCTGCAGCCGGCCTCACCGCCGCTGCGGAGCCACGGAGGGGGGGCCGGCAAGGCCCGGCGGCTGCAAGCCGCAGGCTTCGCTTTGGAGCCGGGGG